GAGGAATGCGCATACCAAAAGTGAAACTCGAGGTTTCTGGTGATCCGATTTTCCTCAAACGACGTATAGTACCTTTTGGTTTGCGTGAACCAGTGCGTCTAGCTCTAGATTCATTGTGCCAAAAAGGTATTCTGACACCTGTCGAGTCTTCCAAATGGGCTACGCCGATTGTTACGCCATTAAAGTCTGATGGTAAAACTGTTAGAATTTGTGGCGATTATCGATTGACACTCAACAAAAGCCTACTTCAACGCTCGTGTGCTACAGAAGAACCTGAAGATGTGTTGTATCGTCTAGCGGGATCAAAAATCTTTTCAAAAATAGACTTGAAGGATGCATACTTGCAGATACCACTTGATGATGCTACTAGTGAATGCACAGTCATCAATACACCATTTGGATTATATCGGTATAATTTCTTGCCATTCGGACTTAATGTCTCTCCTGCTGTATTTCAAGATGTGATTAATTCAATTACTGACGGTCTTGAAGGTGTTGTAACTTATCAAGATGACGTGATAGTTCATGCTGTCGATAAGGTTACGCACGATTCACGCTTGCTTGCATTATTCAAAAGATTTCATGACTTAAATGTTGCCGTTAATTCTTCGAAATGTGCATTTTCTGTTTACAAACTATCATGTTTAGGCTACACTGTTGATGGAAATGGTTTTTCTCCTGATAAAGAACGTTTATCGCCTTTAGTCAATGCTCCATCCCCTTCTAATCTGTCCGAACTTCGTTCCATACTTGGTGCATTGCAATATTATTCCCGATTCATACCTAACTTTTCTCAGAAAGCTTATTGTCTATTTGAACTGTTATCTCTGAAAACATTTTCATGGATATCTGAGCATGAGAAAACTTTGCGTTCTTTACTCAATTATCTTAAATCTGACGCTATTTTGAAACCATTTTCTGCGAAAGATCATTCAACCGTTATAACTGATGCGTCTCCAACTGGATTAGGTGTTATTCTCGAACAAAATGGCCGTCCTGTCATTTGTGCATCCCGTCGACTAACACAAGCCGAACAGGGCTATTCTCAAACACAGCGTGAAGCTCTTGCTGTCTACTGGGGTGTAAGTAGACTACACAAGTATCTTTTTGGTAAACCATTCACGATTGTGACCGATCATGAAGCCTTGAAATTCATATACCATCCTATGAAATCATTGGCTAAGTCATCCGCAGCCATGGTTCAACGTTGGAGCATCGCTCTCAGTTCGTATACATATGACATTATTCATCGTGGTGCTAAATCCATTCAGCACGTCGATTATCTATCCAGAGTTCCAGAAAGTTTATCACAATCTAATGTTTCTGATTGTTTGTTAGTACAACCGCTTCCGATTAAACGAGACGAGCTTGTGCGTGATACCCGAAAATACTTTTCATCCGTTATCTCTGCATTAAGACGAGGATGGACGCACCAAGAACGTCGTCGATTTCCCGCATTTTATGCTCGTCGAGACAGTTTAGCATTGACACCTGATGGATTGTTGTGTTATAACGATCGTGTCGTGATTCCACCAACACACAGAAGTGCCATTTTATCCGATTTGCATTCCGGACATTTAGGCATCGACAAAATGAAGTCTCTTGCCAGACTTACTTGTTGGTGGCCAGAGTTGGATGCAGACATTGCGCGTACGGCTAAGGATTGTATGAACTGTACACACAAAATTCATTCCAAATCATCCAAATGGATTCCTTGGCCATTGTCCTGTGAAACATGGCAACGCATTCATGCAGATTATTGCGGTCCATTTTTGAACAAATATTATGCACTGGTGGTTGTAGATTCCTATTCACGCTGGACGGAAGTATTTCTCACGACATCCCCGAGTTCTGAGTTTACTCAGTATGCTTTGAGGAAACTATTTAGTCGTGAAGGTGTACCAATTGTTTTGGTCACTGATAACGGCTCACACTTCACAGCGAAATCTCTCGAATATTGGTTAAAAGGACTTGGTTGTCGTCATTTATTTACTGCTCCCCGTCATCCACAGTCTAATGGACTCGCTGAAAATTTTGTTCGAACTTTGAAATCTGCCATCAATTCTATTTCCCCTGTTACTTTCCATGATCTTGATCGAGGTATTGATAATTTCTTGATGCAGTACAGGAATGCTGCTCATTCAATTCCTGGTAAGAGTCCAGCAGAGCTATTCAAGTCGAGATCCTTACGCACGAACCTGGAATGCATTGGGACTGCCGACGTAACATTTTTCAAAGGTAACGATCTACGTCCATCTACAGGTTTTGTTATTGGGAGGAACGGAAATCGTATGGTCACGGTTCTTGACCTCGAAGATCTCTCAAGTCACAGACGGTATGCTGATCAAGTCGAATTCAGTTCTAGAGTTCAGTTTGGCGACAATACGTCTGTTGCTTCAAACACTAATGTCCTTTCAGGTTCTCTTACAGATGGTTCTGATGAGCATGAAACAAACACTGAACCTGACAATCCGACGTTGAGAAGATCTGAACGTTTAAGGTTCCAACCTATTAGAGACTATAAACACCCGCACGCTCATTCAACGTGTGGTGGATGTGGTGAACATTGACTCTATTCTATTCATTCTGTTTAGTGTATTTTTATACGCCTTTGTTTTACAATGCGATTGAGAATACGCCCGCGATATACGCGAATATACGATACTCATTCGTTCATATTCGGTCTTCTATACTACGCATACATTCGGTAGTTAAGATATCTACCACTATTCTAATTATCACAATCCATAAATCACTTCACATATGGCTAATTCGATAATGAATATTGGAGATCGAAAAACGGCCAGTAAGGCAGCGAACTTTACACTGGAGCCGCAAAAATCGCGCTTAAGGATGATAAATTAGGAATATTCGCAACAACTTTGCAGTCGCTTAAATATCGGACGCACGGCGTACAGCGAAGTTGCATAATCCCCCCGGCAACGTCCATGGAGCCGAGCCGAATGCGTAATTTTCGTAGGAGTTGGAATTGTTGCCAACGCATAGGAATGAACGCGAACTGTACTGAAATTTGTGGTACCACCAACCGGAAGCCCACCGCGATGGGTTGATCAAAACGAATCGTTTAGCTGATTGGAAAGAACTCTTCCCAGAAGCGGCTGCGACCGGGTAAAGAATGGGTTCATAGCTGCAGGCAAAGGACCGAGTGGGCGAGGGGGCACTGCAAAAAGTAGAATGGAAATAGTTGTAGATGTGCCCTCAGACTGGGTGTGGTAGTGCCGTACTATCACTTCGCTGGAATGCTTTAGTTTCTGTACATCTCAATGGCAGGCGTAATGTTTGAGATGACCAGACTTTGTGTCTGTCAGGGAAATTCGCGGAGGTAGAACAAAACCTATGTAAGATCACAAACATTTTTGGTCCGGTTCGGTGTCCCTTCGTGTTAAAGTACGGACCAGGCGAATGACGGCCAAACAAACAGGGAAGGTACCACCCAAGACTGAAGCTTGGGTAGCTGTGGATGAGAACGGTAAGGCCTGATGCGTTTCAGGGGGCACCAGATGGGACAAAGTTCAATCATGGAAAAAACTAGCGTTTACTACAGTTACGGCGGTGAAAAAAGTGACTAAATGAGACTATGTAGAGGGGTTTACGTATTAGCCTTAGCTTTACGTCACTAGCCCAGAAGTCAAGAACTGATTTAGCCTGCTAATATCACAGCACGAGACAGAAAACCTGCATAAGTGTGCAGGAGATCCCGTGGTGGATGATACCAAACACAGGGGCTGACTGACCGGGACAGAGTGGGATTTCCTACGTGAACTGGACAGTAACGTAATCTAGGGGGCGAAAGTGAGTGCTTTACTCGAGTGTTTCATGGCAAGATAAAACTTAGGTGCTGTTAGTATAGAATTGGGAATCTCAATGTTTGTACTACTAAGAGCAGTAGGTGGGGGTATGTGCGTTTTCTTCATTTGGCGAAGTGGGTTTTGGTGCGGTTTAACTACAACTACGACGTAGGCAACTACAGCTTCTCAGGAATATGTAAGCAGTAGGCACCGTAGAGCATAGTCAGGCCACACAGTGTGTTCGTAAAAGCTTTTCGATGATAAAATTTCATGGTAAATTTGTGTTAATCTTACCCTTTTTACCTTATTCACTGTACGGGAAATCCATAAATGTATACCTTACCGTATACGTAGACTTATATCTTACCTGTCTTGGAGTCCGCCCCTTAGTCATTTGCAAAGAACCTATACGATTGTGTTTTTTCTCGTTTTTGGGCCCGCCGTGCAAATTTATGAGTAGCTTGCTCACTGTAAACTGCGCCACTCCTCATGGAGCCCTGCAGTTTAATCAATAAAACAGGGACCCACAATGAAATAGCTACTTGAATAGGCTTTCCTTTTTGAATAAAAAGTGGTCGAAGAAGTCCATAAATTTGCAGGACGCAGCAAATGAAAGAACATGCTACACTGAAGGATTGATTTTTACTTTTGTCCCTGAAAGTTCAACCAATAGGGCGACTTCTAAGGGTGGTTGGTACGGTTGGTTCGGGAACCGAGCAATGTAAGTAGCTGAACGCTAGCGAAGTGCAACCACTGATAACCTATTTAAAGGAAGTGAGGCGAATGGTGAACAAATGTTCTCTAGTCTCATACCTTAAGTATCCTTATACGTGTGATTTGTCAACCCAGAACCACTTACCAATGATACGACTGACATTTGTCCCCATTTCTGAAGTTCTATGGATATCAGGCCGGTTCGGCGATCACTAGGGGTTGAACCAATTGAAATACAACATCCGGCGGCGACTGACTGGAAGAACAGCCACAATGGTGACATACAAGAAATGTACAGGCGAGGGGGTTGATAAAAATATTGGTGAGCAACACAAAGACCGTTCATTGTGGGGACCGGTTGGAATTACCACCATACTTTGATTAGTCAAGTGAATCAGAAGGATAGTGCTTGAGGCTTCTGTCGTCGCAGTCACCAGATCGACTTTGCGACAACAGGTGTTATGAGGGTGAGGCAACATGCATGTACTTGTCCACCCTGAAGCAATGAGGGGTTGCTCCGTAAGTCTTATTTTGTCTCTCAATGCTTCTGGTGCTATACCCCTGAAGAAGTTAAAGTGAGAAAAACCAAGCTGGCTTCCATAAGGCGGAGATTACTACCAAACTATTTGTACCTATCTCACAAGCTGTGTGAAGATCCGTCCTCCTGTGTTAAATCTTTACTGTCAACCTGGTCAAACAAGATTAACAATCTAATAAATGGTATATTTTGGCCTTGTGTGTGGTGCATGTATGTCGTAAAAATAATATCTGTTTGTCCTTTTAGCCAGATAGGTGGTTTCCAGACATTTTATGACCTTTTCGTGCTTGCACTGCTGCATGTAACAGTATAAAATCTGAACGGAATAATTTGCCGTTAATTTCAATACTACATACGTTTCCATATGTTAGGTCGATCTAACTCAAAACTGAATTATTATTAGTTTTTACTTGTGCATATTATTCGTTTAGGCCGCCTCAAACAAGTGCCCAAAAATGGCAGTCTGTGTAAGATCTTTCAATGCATATGTGTCGCCTTCTATAATTAGGGTGAGAAGGAGCGGGTACTTTTGGTTATAGTACGTGTACTTATTTGATGCACCAAAACATTTCCGCAATAATTCCTGGTAAACATAGATCCCCAGAATTTTGAGGTATATGTTCGAAGGTATCTCTCTCCGACCAGCAGGCCACACTCTTCTTACGGCATTACAGAAGAAAAATAATCAAAGCAATAGCGTTTTTTCAAACTGGATTGTCCGGTGCAATGGCAACGCGACTAATTCACTGAATAATTCGTATGCCAAAAGACCTTTTCGCACTCCATCGTTGCTCACTCGCACCCGGAGCTGATTTGAGGCTTGTCCGCAACGTTGGTGTTGCCCAAATTGTGCTGAAAATTCACTGCATGCAGAGTTCATGTCTCCAAGTTATACTTAGTGATTTTAACGCAAGACGTCCCTTTAACCATCATTCACTGGGCACTATGCGTATTATTACGACCCACCTTGGCCGCCCTCAAGAATTCGACCACCTTCAAAATGCTCCTGACCCGGCGTTGTTTGCGACTGTGTTCCATATTGTTCTGTAGCGTCTGAATGGCGGAGCTGTTTGTCAAATACATACCTGCAACCTTGAATTACGTTTGCGTATACATCGTTGATTCGAGATAGATTTGATGATGGAATGGAAATTATTCTTGTGAGACGTTTTCCATTTAAATGAAGTTATCCGTGATCCTACATCACCTTGATTCTATGCGCGTTATGCAGTCTAAATCAACTGCCCACAGGAATGCGCATCCTCTGTCCGATCACCACATGCTTGACCTCTAATACAAGACTTCCAGAAAGCGAAGTATGTCAGTTTTTTGACAGCGAGGCACTCTCATGTCCACTCTGGTGTCACACCCGCGAATATGCTCTTCATACTCTCTACTGTAACCTCTCCTTATCTCGGACCTCTACGTGCAACTACGAAAAAGTATTTACCTATCCTCTACCACATCTGAAACGAGTTATTTCTAATTTGCGAAACACTTAGGGTTTATTCATCTCACTGTATTAAACCAATTGAAGTTTCCCATATCTACAAATTCAACGACTGAATTAAAAACGCTCATTCTGATCAATGCATTAACACCATTTCTCCCTCCCACAAAAACTTTACACGTGACGTTCCTCCAAAAGCGATACCAATTAGCCTGAAACGCAACTTGTTGTTTATTTTTACCATGAATTTCGCCATTTGCTTACAATATTACCAATGTCTATTCCCAACAAGTGGGTGGCATACCTTCAGATTTTTACCATAATTTCGCCATTTGCTTACAATATTACCAATGTCTATTCCCAACAAGTGGGTGGCATACCTTCAGACATGATCATACGGTTACAATCTGGATAGAGCATGACTGTGGGAATTTGCGGGGATTGCGCGAATAAAACGTCATAAATAATTGGCCATAGCCATTCTAGACTTGACCACGCACAAACCAGAATGAGGGAGACACAGTTGCCAGGAAGTTATCTCTGGGAGAGGACGCATCAAGCTGAGCGAAGATCGGATCGTTAAGGTTTTAAGGTCGCGGGCAGAAAAAGAACGAGAGAGAGAGAGGGCAAAAACGAAGCATCCTGCATGGTAAATGGGGAGAAAACTGCAAATTTCGAAAAATGAAGAACCCTAACAACGAATCTGGAAGGGTAGCTGGATTGTATCTTTCTGGCCGGTCAGTGTGGACTAAATTTCAAAACCATCGCTGAGAAAACCTCGTCCCTGTACTGCTGAGCTTATGGCCAATGTCATATAAAGCAAAATTGGGGATGTTGAAGTAGATGAATCAGTAATATCGATTTATGTTGACGAGAATCTCATCGTTCTATACAATGAAACTGCAGAGGCCCACTAGTATCGCCGCTGGAGTGGGGTCTATAGTAAAAGTTCCTGTCACCAAGTCACTTGTCTGAGCTCCACCAACGGTCGCTTCAGCACTCGTCCTATCAATATAGCCGACCACTTGAATGCTTACTTCGCCAGCTGCTACTTACCTCCTTCTCTCAAGTTCAATCCTACAATCTCCGCCTCATATTCCAACTCTCTACAACAGAGTAACCGCCAGTCTCTGAGCAGCTTGACCATCTCCCTAGCTGATGTATCAGCCTTTCTTCAAACCCTCAATGACTCCGCCGTGCCGGGAGGCGACGACATACCATCGCGTGTCCTGAGATATGGTGGTCAAGATGCCAAAAACCTTGTCCTAAAACTTTTTACTCACTCAGTCAACTCTGGAATCGTCCCCTCTGAATGGAAAGAATCTGTTGTTCGTCCCCATTCTAAATACGGATCCAGGCAAATTGCTTCGGATTACAGAGGGATCCACCATACCCTTCTTTTAATGCGAACCCTCGAAAGTCAGGTCGAAAGCTCGTTAATTAGGTTTCTCCTAGCTACAAACGCCATAGATGATCGATAGTACGGATTTCTATCTCGAAGATCCGTAAATGGCCGCCAGCTTCACTTCTTTGAGACCGTCACAGCAGCTTACGACGCTGGATACTCCATTGTGACAGTCTATCTGGATATCCAAAAAGCCTTCGAGCAGGTCCTCCACGCCTCCCTGCTACACAAACTTAGCACCGTTGGCATCACGGGAACCTTATTTCAGTGATTCGCCTACTATTCATCAGCCAGGAGGCAAATTACGCAAATCGGGGACATACAATCATCTCCACTAGCGATCACTAGCGGAGTCATTCAAGGAAGCGTGCTAGGCCCCATCCTTTTCTTACTATATATCAGTGAAGTCTTCGGCGCCATATCCCACGGTAAGGCCTTCTTCTTCGCGGGCGATATAAAAATCGCGCACAAGGTCCCCACCACTGCAAAAACCCTTGCCTTTCACCAGATTGAGCAAGACCTAGATTCACTTACTCGCTGGTCAAACGACTCTGGCCTAAGCTTCCCCTCCAAAAAAATCCTGTATAACTTCCTGCCGCTGCACCCTCCCAGCTGATGCTTTCACAATTAATGGAAATCCTATTACTCATTCTACAGAGATCAAAGATATCGGCCTCAGATACTCATGTACATTTAGCTTTTTCCACCGGGTGAAGTTTCAGGTTGCAGGAGCGCGCAGGCTCAGTTTTTTTTAATACTGCGCTACTGCCACCTTCCTTGCAATCTTTAAGCTATGCGTAAGCCCAACCGTGGAATTCTGTTCCGCGTTCTCCTTCCTCTACACCTAAAGTTGCAGATTCGCAATTGAAAGCGTCCAACGCTCATTTACGAAAACTCTTTCCTCGGTCAAACCCCCTCCCTTACAGCTCCCGCTGTCAAATACCTAGGCCTCGAACCACTATGGCTCAGACGGTTAAAATTGAATTTAGCTCTCTTACACCGTTTGCTGCATAAGGGCGCCTTTATAGCAGAGGCTAGACCAAGCATAAACTCACAACCTCGCTACAGACTCCGCAACTCCTGCAATCTCATAGTGTGTCCCCCAGCTCGCACAAACGTACGCCACTACTTCTTTCTAGTTTATTACGCTCGCATCTGGAACAGCCTTCTTGAGCAGCTGCGAAGCATCACGCATCACCATGATTTTTCTTGGCCTGTAGACAAATTCCTTACTTGTGAAACTGCTGCCGCCTTACTTAATACTCGACTACCCTCTGACCTCCTCCACGAATCGGGTCCGGTGCGCACATGAGTTGAGCGACGTTGCAGTTAGTAGGCAAGTAAAGGATCCTGTTATTATTTCTTCCCATCCACTTGAGCCGCTTTGAGCTAATAAAGGACTAAATGCCAACTTGATCTAAATATGCAGCGTTACTGGCCTGATTGTTTTCTTTTTTCCCCTTTTTCCCCGTACCAACTTACAACTCGCACTGGTCTAGTTCCTAACCCGGACTACTCTATAAACTCTGTCTAGCGTCTGTTGTTCTCGTCCAAAATCTACTGACAAAAACCAAATTAAAATTGGCTGTTTCTTCCTCAAATCACTGCACGACTTAATCACCTACTAATTATAATTATGCTGTGTTACTTGCCTGGTTGTTTTTTCCTACTCAGTAAACTTATTCGTCGTCCTAGTTGAGTCCCTAACCCGGCTTACTCTATCAGCTCTGTCTAGTAAATAGTGCTTTCAGTCTAACTGATAAAAACCAAACCAAAGTCGATTTATTTCTTCATTTCATTATCAGAGCGCATTCTGCGCTTATATATATCCATTCGATGATCTGTTCCACTAAAAACTCACACAATATCGCGGAACGCTTCTGCTCGACGTGGCAGCCCACACCAACGTTCCGACGGCGTTTAGCCATAGTGCAATCGCCACGAGTATCAACATTCCAGTCCCACCGACTCATTGACAACTGTCGTTTCACTTCTCCTCCGCAACTTGCCCTACCATCGTCTGTATGATGTTGCTTGTTCGGATTGACTGAGCTGGCTTTACCGGCCTTGATTTCCCCCGACCAAAAAATGGTAGCTGGAGTATTTAATGATGCACAAACCGCACTTATGTCTGCTTGGATGGTTGTCCACCTTGCAGATCTGGTAGCATGCACGAGGGAGAAAAACCTAGTGTGATGGACGGGTACGCCCAACAGGGGGGTCGATCTGTTACGTTGCACCATGGTGCGTTCGTACACCCGCCACCCATCCAGTAGCACGGGTGCATCGCCCATCGCCGGCGGTTCTGAGTCTGGCCTTTAAATTCAGGAAATAAAAAAGTACTGCTGACTTCTGTTTGTTGCTGCTGGTGTTGGGCTCGCCTTAGCGGAGTTATGCAACTGGCAATTCCATAAACCACACATGGAAAAATTTGGCCTCTCATCTGGAAAAAAGGAAAATTAAAAGATCACTTGGGATAGCCGGAAGATACTCTGCAATGCCCATGGCCTACATCGGCGAGCATAGTTGTATCTGCTTTCGTCAGAACGGAGGCTACACCGCACCAAAGCCCATTCCGTCAACCAAACAGAGAATACATCTATTCACCACTCCCAGTGGTAGACAAGAAAGTCTTCATTGCTATGCATCACCTACAGATTAGAGCTGATAGCAGTGCTTCGGTGACTGGTGACTATTTCTCAAGCACATACCTTCCCTTCTGGTATTATCCAACTCATGTAATAAACACTCGATTAACCAGTTAGCTTAGAAGTCCATTCCAGCCAGCCCTTACATATATGATTCCCATACCGCGCTTACATCGGTTTTTACTAGATCCCTTTTAATATAATATCGTACGTTAGGAAAATCAGCCCTTGGTCGCTAGCCTACTAAGTACAAATATATCTATTTCCTACTCCATGTAATCACTTGTCATCACACTAGTTGCAGCAGACGCCAAGTTTTTCTTTCTGTGTATATTAATGCATATTATCCCGTTTAATATCCCCTCAAACTATGTTTTGCGAATCCCCTCCCATCCCCTCACCTTCTCAAGGTTTGAACTTCGGAAGTGGCCGCTTTGGACGGCCTGGTTAGCTGATCTCCACTCCACCTGGCGTATGATCTACAACTCCGGGATCACCAAGCGGACCAATAAAACCTGCAGTCTCATATCGGCTTCGTTCCAGCTTGTTTCCTCGACCAAGCTGAAATGAATACCGCTGCTCAATCAGCTGCACACTCCCAGCTGAATCATCTCATATGTGACGTCCGTCACGGGACTGTACAAAAACTGCAGCATGTCAGGCCAATGTTGGCACGGCACTGCCATACTCAGTTTGATAGCACACCCGCAACTTTACCATTACTCCTCTTAACCGTGCCCTCTTGCACACTCGTTTCATTGACCCCAACGACCACCAGGACATTCATTCCAACCTATTGGACTACTCGTTCGAATTCAACCACCTTAGCGTCCCCATCCAAACTAACCCCTCACCTGACTTCCCAACAACAGTGCAACCAGTGAGTCTGCTTGTTCTCAGATCGCACCATATTTTTGAGACTAAACTTGCCGTGTTCTTCCAATTCGAATTAGCCCATCTCCACCTCCACTTTTGCTCGTTATGAATCCGGTCATTTACGCAACCGCCCAAGGTCACTCATGGCCAGCAATGGGTTTCCAGTTTTAGTTCAAGTCAGCCGACTGAGTCTTTGAATTAGTCGGACCTCAGGCCTATTGTTCCCTACAAGTTTCAAAATAAACATATTATTATAATTTATTCGAGTACATCCCACTTTTTATGACATTATCCGCTTTTCGCGCAAGCCCCACTACCCGCAAACCCCTCTGTCTTACCCCAGCCTGACTGTAAACGCATGATCATGCCAGACGGTATGCCACCCACAAGTTTGGAATATACATTATTATTATTTTGGTGCCAGCGCACAAGACGAAACGCGAGCTGCACAGAAAATAAGTGACTTTGTGAGGAGCATATAAAGCATATATAAATTTCCAAAATTCAGTTGCATTTAACAGCTCGTTATGTCGTAAGAAGTGGGAGTTCGAAATCACACACTCAAAGTGCAAAACACGAGCGAGAAGAGTGTAACTCACGGCCCCAATAGCGTTAATCGTTGTACATCAGATAGCTCATCACTGCTTCACCTAACCGAGAACCTGAGTGGAGGACCGTCAATAATAATAATCATTCAGATGTCATTCCGGTGTATAGATGCCATGCCATCTGAAAGAACCACGAGGACTGGGATACTTCCAGGTTGACTATGACTAGACAGGAGCGGTCGGGATGCAGAGGTTAGGTTCGAACCACGGACCTTCCAAAACGAAGGTTCAGCGGGTTAAAATGAACCTGAAGGCGGCTGGAGCCAGGTGAATAGTTCGTTCGCAGTTTTAGGTAAGCGCATTATCAAAAATATGAAGTTCATAGTTACGATTATGCTATCAAACTTCGTATGTCAGTGCCCTGCAATCATCGCACGGACATACTTCGGTTTCTGGACAACCCCGTGACACTGGCCTTTGATTAAACAGTTCACCGCCACTTGCAGTTCGCAGCGGTTTCCAGTTTTAGCTCAAATCAAACGGACGCGCAACTAAAATTGTTTCACTCCCTGCTTCATTGTTCTGGTGTCTCTTGTTTTCACCAATTTATAACTACCAACCACGTGACAAGTATGTCTCCGTTTTGAATCCCCCATTTGGCTCCTTTAAAGGAGCTGACCGTGCCACAACCGTTATGCTCCCTACAAGTTTGGAAATAAACCTATTATCATTATATTACCTGTTCATCAACGCGCGCCGTAAGGTGTCGCCTAGCTTCGCAAGGAAACGTTTGCAGACCAACAGCCAGGGTCAGATGAACTGGTGAGAATAGCCTTATCAGCCACAAATAAACGCAGGCAAGCAACAAATAGTCCAATATATTGCTCCCGGTATTTGCCCACTGTTGTTGCTGCCACGTGTGTTGTAACAAATGCATGAACTTATACGTGAGTTTTTACACCAAATGGGTATGTGGGCTTTGACTGCAGGCGGTCTCTCATTGGCAGGTTCGGATGGGAAACCCGAGGAAAGAGTTACCCGAATAGCGCCTACATCAACGACTCAGGGATGAAAAGGTTCCTGTTCTTTCATGAGTCAACTTGCCTTCCTTGGACTATAGCCATAATGTGGATAACGCCACAATGAGGGTGCACAACACTCAGCACCACAGGGAAAGCAGCAGGAGGGAGCGATAGAGGCTAATACGATACTTAAATCCCAGCCATGGCGGCTCAGATAGTAAACAAGTGCCAATGAGCTAACCAAGCACTCACGTGAGTATCAAGAGACGGACGTGTAGCTCCAAATACAGTCAGCTGTTTAACAACCGCGTTCTGTATTAGCCACTGCAAAGCAGCCAGGGAAATAAGAGATCATGTGATCTACCCCACATAAGTCAAACAAGAGAGCACACATACCAATGCGCATGGACGGGAGCGGCTCTTCATCACTGGCTCAAAAGTTCATTGGCGAGTTTCTAGTAATCTTTGCGATCATCTACCCCCTAATCCTGCCAATGAATAAGGTACCAAGTAAAAACTATCCAGAATCTCCCCACGCACCGATTTATACGATTCATTTCAAAATCTTAAAACTGTTTGTCGGCAGGAATCACTTAAACTTTCTAACTTAGCTGCGACTTCATGAGACTTGCCAATACACCATCGCCTGCTGAGCAAGTTGCCACCTAAGCACATCCACAAATCGTCGGTTCTGCTGATTGCGTCCATAGGTGTACATGGGGAACGATCCTTGTCCGGCATACGTAATTTCCTCCTAAAAGTTGCGTCGAAAAAATTTCTGGATGAAAAACTGCAATCCGCTTGATGGATGCCCAAACGAAGTACCAGCACAATCTACTAGAGTTTTGTTGAAGTTCTTTTACGTACTCAGCTTCACACTTTTTAATCAGTTCACTTTTACAGTTGCACTGTTATTACACACGCTGATCACCGAAACCAAACCGCAATTATTTTAAGGGGAACCATGAGGTGCTCATACTTGTGACTTTCCCGGGCCATTCATCTAATGGGTATGAATGTTTTAGTAACATGTTGGTCTCACCCTTCAGTTTAGGCCAGCAAAATTTTGAGGTAATCTACCATCGCCTACTCGCATTTTATCACCGGTTTACGAAGTAAAAAATATAATCAAACTTTGATATATTGTAGCATCTTTTAAAATGGAGATAACATCCACAGCATACGTCCTGCAAGTTCAACCGCGAAAAATGTTGGAATAACATGTTCACGCGTAAAACCCTCAAAACATAACAAATGATATAAATTTGTTCAGCAAGCTTCGGCACAAACGGTTTTTCTGAATGGGAAGCTTGCTTTTCAGTGATACAAGTCACCGCGACACAGGCACTTGAACAGGCATTGTCTATTGCGAACTCTTCACTGAGTCCGTCGGATGTACGTTATAAAATTGGTTCACTCTGGAAAACCGTTGTCTGAGCTCGCAATCAAGCTAATATGTTGCTTGTCAAATACTCAATTCACCTGGTAAGGTATTTACCAACGACAAACACCTCTACGATCTTTGTGCAACATCCATTAACCGCTGCCCGACCAAAGGATATGCCAAGCCTTTCAATCAAAATTCGAAACCGAGCCCCGAGTGAGTTTGGTACTTGTCACACCATCTGGTGGTCCACCCTCAAAAGCTGAATAGGATGAGAGTTTTATACGATTGTGCATGTCAAGTGCACGTGGGCCTTCTCAACTCGTAACTGCATATTAGCTCATAAATAGTGAACGCTATACCCAGAGTCTCCTTTGTTCCCTCCAGTATAAGCAAATTATAGCGGCAGATACGGAATCGAACCGACAGAGAAGTCTTACTTTTACTGTGTTGAGGGCACGGTGACAACGAGCAGTCCCTAAAGGCCTATGCGTATGACTTTATAACCCTTAAGAGAGACTTCCTGTTCTTTCTACACCGGTTGAAACCTAATGCATACCATCAAGAGCCACCGTAATGTGAGGTATTAGCAGCAAAACACGTGCTTTATGTGGACGTTTCACTTCCCAGCGTCATTTTTCCAGAACCCTATCCATCCGTCACGTCTAATCTGGCGAGATCTCTGGCAGTCCGACCAAAAAATGGTGCGAATGCGAATATATTCTTTGGGCAGTAATATATGTCGAGGATCGAATAAACGCTATTATTACTAGTTAAAACTTGATGCATATCCACAGCCACCTTCGTGGCACGAGAAATATGGGGTTCAAAAGGGTATGCCGAATGAAGAAGCCCTTTATCAAGCAGATGCCACATTTGAATCCCATCGAAAATGGGAAGATGCTGCCACCTATACCCTTCCTGTGCGACCCAAAAGGATTCGTCTGCCCAGCTCAACTGCCTGGAAGGCCAAATTTAGTACAGCTTTGTAGGCTACAGATTAAGATGGATGAAACACTGAATGCCGAACTTTTTCGGCTGTGGCTGAAATTAAGACGGCCTACGAACGCCCTCACCAAATTGAGGACCCCGAGATGCCTACTCTCTAAAATTGTCTGTTCCTAATCTCATGAACTATATTTTTCTTGGAAGCATCGTAAAAGCCTGCGAGGCAGTTTCTTATCTTCGGCTGCGGAATGATCGCCACAAAAGATGCTACTTTGAATGACCCCGCGCTGCTCTTC